TGGCTGGGGCACGGGCAATTCAAGCAACTGCTCTGCACCTCAATTTCCCCGTCTGCAAAAGAAAGCCATTCTCTTTCTCTTGCTGCCTCACGAGTATCTGGCAAAGAGCAATTCCTTCCTGCATGAAAGGTCATTATCTGCCCCTGGAGGCTGTCAGAGGGCAACATCTTCCTATCAGAGAGGACTGCAGGTGTGCAATACAAGTGCAAGCTGAAAGACCCCACCTGTAAAAAATGGTGGCCAGTGCCTTTGCTACAGACAAGGCATCCTTCTTCTGCAGAGGGACAGCTTCGACCCATTTGCTGAAATGGTCTGTCACGGTGAGGACGTGCGTGTTGTTCCGGCTCGTCTCTGGAAAAGGCCCTACATGAACAGACATCAACACTGATCAGTCCCCAGCCAGAACGCCGCATGCAGGAGGAAGCTACAAAATGCCCGATGCCATGAAACAACTGCTGCAAAGAGGGTTATGTGGGGGAAGCCAAAGCCCGCTTTGCAATAGCCCTCAGCTGGGAAACCTCAGTGATCTCTGTCAGTGTAACATCCTTGTCCTGCTTCCAGTCCAGGGCAATGCTGGGCCCTCACACTTGGATGAAAGCTGCTGGGGAACTCTCTCAATGACATGAATCGGGGGCAATCCAGCAAGCAGCTAAGCTCGCCTGTCGCTCCTTCTCGGTGCACTCAGTGCCACCCCCATCACCAAGCTTTCCTCGCTACCGAGGGCTCCTGCAGCTTTCCCTCCCCACGGCCGACCCAACAACAGCCCGTTCATCACCCGGGACCCACCAGAGATGCTTACCGTGAACGTCCAGTCCCAGCGCTTCCCAGGGTGACTCCACCTTGACCAGCCTGACCTTGCGCGCCATGTTCTTGTTGTGCTCCGCGTTCTGGCAGGTCTCGCACATTTTGATCTGAGAACGAAAGACCCGGAGACTCTCAAGAGCCGCTGTGGTGCTGTTACACACAGACCCGGGCTATTCCAAGACCAGGAGGAGGGCTGTGATGTTGGGATTGGGTACCCTGCCCTAATCCCTGAGTGAGCCCTCTGCCAGCCCCAACCCCCAGTTAGAGGCCTGGAGGTTAATGGGAAACAGGACAAAACAAGCAGTGGGTTTTCCAGGGCTAGACTGGTATCTGTCTGGGACCAGGACACTGATTTCCTGGACATAGAGAATGCGCCGGATTGAAGCTGCATCTCAGGAAAGTGGTGCTGCCTGGACAATCTTTATGTTTTCACAGAAAAAGGGGAGTGTTGGCATCACTGAACCGGCCCTGAAGAGTCCTCCCCTGAATATGCTGACCTCAGGGGAACTGGGCACGACACACCGGGAAGTCCCTTCCAGTCCCACAAGATGTGCTCAACACCCCTGCCTGGCTTTGGAGCCACACACAGTAGAGGCACATTGCCCCTTTTAACCTCCATCTCAGGGGAACTTCTTCAGCGCTCCCTGAAGGATACAGGCACAGTTCCCCCCATCAGCAGCAGCCTGCATCCTTACCCAGTCAACGACGTCCTTCACGATGCCCAGCCAGTAGTACCGGCTCTGAATCCTATGCACGGTCTTCTTCTGCCCCAGGTGGCTCCCAATTTCTGTGAAGTGGCTCTCCAGGAAGACTTGCCGTCTCTTCTCGGGGTCCACGACCACCTCCCGCTTCTCCTCTTTCTTTGGTCCCACATAGTAGAGGCAGCCCCCTGCGGAGAAGCAGGACAGTGGTGGGGGCACAGCAAGAGGGGAAGCTGAAAAGCACCACCTCGTAGCACCATCTCTGGCTCAAGCCACTGTAGAACATCGCATACACACATGCATGCGCACCCCCAAAACATCCCGGCGATGGGGTCCGAGCCGAGAAGCCAATTTCCACGTTTGAGAAAACAGATAAGGAACAATGCCCTTGCCTGCCAGGTGCTAAAATAGCAGACCTCGTGAGATGTGTAGATAAGCTGCTAGGGAGGGCTGGGGAGGAGCCGATGGTCACGCTCCATGTGGGCACGGGTAGCAGAGAGGTCCTGAAAGTTAAATTTAGGCTGGCAGGACCTCCATGGTAGCATCCTCTGAAATGTTTCCAGTGCCAGGCGCAGGCCAGCTAGACACGCAGAGCTGCAAGGTCTCGACGAGTGGCTGAGGTGTCGATGTAGGGAGGGAGGGTTTAGGTTTGTTAGGAACTGAGGGACCTTTTGGAAAGGGTGGGGGGTCTGAATGGGAGGGATGGTCTCCACCTGAGCCAAAATGGTACTAAGCTGCTGGCACACAATACTATGTCAGAACCAGGTCACTCTCCCTTTCAGCACCTGCCCTCTGCCGCCGCGCGACACGGGAGGCTGGGCGAGCTGGACCTTGGGACTGGGCCACTCAGCGGCAGCGCTTCTGTCCCGATGCCCACCGCAGTGGCACGCCTGCCGCGGGGACACTTGCACAACACGAAGACGACCTGCCCCTGCCTCACCCACCGGTACAGATTTAAAACTAGAACGGCCCCAAACGAAACCCGAGAGCTGCTTCCCGCTCACAGAGCGCAGCAGAGCGACGCGATCGACCCGAGCCCCTCTGTCCTGGGAGGACTTCCCTTGAAGCCACTGATTATCAGCCAGGGACGCCGCGAGATCCTTCCTAGGGGTGCCCAGCCTCTGTGCCACGAGGCAAGGGACCGCTCCTCCTCCCACCCAGCGCCAGACACCCAGGGTCTGACACAAGCGGTGCTTGCAGCTGCTCTCATCCCGTCAGCTCCCACGCCGGCCCCGCGCTCCCAGCACCTGCACGCAGGCGGGCACCCAGGCTGACATGGAGCCACTGTTTGTGGGCAGGAAGAAGGGGCTGAGGGCTCTCGTCTCTGCTTCTGCCTCCCGCGGGTAAGAAGCGGGTTCCCCCCCCACAGCACCCCCAGCTCCCGTGCACAAGACCCGCCACGCTGCTTGCAGCCACAGGGACATTGATGAGGTCAAAGCAGAGGGCAGCAGGGGCAGGAGAGCCTGGCTGCGACCCGGAGCCAGCAGGAAGGAGAGCAGCCGGGTTCGCACCTCTGCCCCCATTCGTCTTCCCACAAGCAGACCCCCCCAGCATCTCTGTAGCTTGCAGCTCGCGTCTTGCAGCTGCTTTCCCCCGCAGAGGCGTGAGGTGCCCGCTGGGCGCCTGGGTGGGAGCCTCCCCACCTCACCTTCCACCACGAATTTCTGGGCGTAGCGCCTGAGGTTCTTCCTCTTGATGGAGCAGAAGCTAGGGGGGAAGCAGCCCTCCGAGAGCAGGCGGTAGATGTCCTCGAACTTGGAGCTGGGGCCGCAGGACTCCACCACCTCCTCCTCCGCCACTTGCAGGGCGGAGTCCATGCTCCGGCAGCGGGGCTCCTTGCAAGCGGGCCCGGGGCTCCCTGCACACAAGCCCCAGCCCAGCGGCTGCTGCTGCTGCGCCTTTCACAAGGGCATCAGCATCCCTGCCCGCTTCCCAGCCCAGCCCCACTAAGGGCATGTGTACAAAGATCTCCGTTGCCAGCGATGCAGGCGAGATCGCTGCCCAGGACCACGGCCTGCAAGGGCTTGACCCGCTGCAAGCCCTGCCTGGGGACAACCTCGCCGGCCTGTTGCAAAGGCAGCGTGCTCCCTCCCTCTCCCCTGTCACCGCAGGGAGGATGCTAGCGGCTGGGGAAGGAGCACTGGGGAGGCGATGGGGCATTTCTTCCCGTGACCGGATTTTGTGCTTCACGGGGGGCTGCAAGGCAGAAGGGGGGTGGGTTTCCCTTAGCAGAGGGTCCAGCTGCGCAATGAACCCAGAGAGCCAGGCAGAAGTGCCAAGCCCCTGCCCCGTGGGCACCGGGAAAGCTTTTGCAGAGCCCCCGCCACGAACCCACTTACCTTCCACGTCGAACTTGATGGCGTACCTGCGCAGGCTCCTCTTCTGCAGCACGGTGAGGTGCTGGGGGTATCTGCCCTTGGCCAGGTACACGTACACCTGCCGGTACCGCTCCAGCGACTCGGCCCTGGCCTCCATCCGGGCGCTGCGCTCCACCTCCAGCAGCTTGGCCATGCCTGGCGGGAACACGGAAGGAATCGGCCGTGGATCCCAGGCAGCCGCCTTGCAGGGGCAACGGGGTCACCGCAACCCGCGCCCCCAAGCACATGCGGCTGCATCCTCCTTGGCGCTTGCGGCCCCCCGAGCCGCCCGCTCCGAGCGCGGGGGTGTGGGGGGCCAGGTCCCTGCCCCCGCTCCCAACATGCCGAGCATCGGCACGTCGAGAAGCAGCGGCCAGGTCCTGAGACTGGACAGAGCCGACGACCGTCGCGCAGGGGAACCGGATGAACTGGGCAAGGGCAGCGCCACCACAACGCTGGCGTCTCGGGAGCAGCATCGCACGAGGTCCTGCAGCAGGAGCCCTGCACCCCGCCGTGCCCAGGCCCGCCGGGACCCAGAGGTGGCATCAGCAGGGGTGCACGGATCAGACAGACACGGGGGCGAAGGCTGGTGCCAGGAGTGGGCAAAACCGGCGTCTGTTGGGCCGGTTCCTCCCATCGAGGGCGGCAGGAGCAGCTCCAGCTCTGGCACTTGGGGCGGGGACAAGGATTCGCACCCAAGACCCTGCGCTTTTCTGCGCACCGCAGAGCTGCTCCAGAGCCCGGGGGCAGGTCTGTCGTGGGCTGCGGCGCCCCACGGACATCGCCCCGGCTCTGGCAGCGAGGTGCTGCCATGCTGGCCTGGTGATGTGGGGTGATGGGGCCAGGTGCCCCCAGGTGCCAGCGCACCCCAGATGCCTGGGGCAGGAATACAATGCCCCAGGGCTCTTGTGCTGGGCCAGGGCGCACCCAGGGACGCTCCTGGAGCGGGGAGGACACGGGGCAAGAGGACACGGGCAGCAGGAGGGAAAGCCTCCCTGACTTCTCTTCGTCTCCTTCTGCGGGGGGAATTTGCCGACGCTCCCTTAACCCCGCCGGAAGCAGGGGCGGGCGGAGCTCTTTCGCTGCCGGACCCTCCCGCCAGCCCGCGCCGGGGTCCGGTGTCCTTTCGGGTCCGGGCGGGAACGCGGTCGCGGCGGCAGGTTCCGGCCCGCCATGGCGGCGCGGGGCTGCTGGGCCTGCGCCTGCTTCTACACCGACAACATCTTTCTGCCCCGCTACGGCCTGCACGTGCGCTACCGCGACGGGCCGCAGCTGCGCCAGGACTACGGGCCGGTAACCGGGCAGAGCTAATGGGGGGAAAAGAAAGGTCAGTTGTAGTAGAAAAGGAAAACACTCCTTGTACAGCGTGAGGCTAAATGCAAGTTTT